GCGATTACAACTGTTCTATTCAGTTGAGAGTACTCTCCGACGGCAGACGCTACAATGTTTTGTCATTTGCCGAAATTGGCAACAACAGCAATTTACCCACACTTGTTGAAAAATCGAAGGTACCAGAGGTCCAAAGGCCCTCGGGGCACTGGGAGCGGGTCATTGGTGAAGGAGGGATTTACTCATCCTAAAGCTAAAATATCACTTTTCTATCTATTCTCCTCTTTGTTTTATTCAAAAAAACCAGCGGCACGTTTGAATGGGATGACCTAATAGTAAGGCTTAGCATCCCCAGAAAGCGACACGGCTCTAATTGCCGCAATCAGCTATTGGTCCGATCGGACCAGCCGTTTTCACCCACAATTTGCGGCTAAATAATACTTCTTCCCTTTACAGGATTCCTCCTGAAGAGTTTCAGGTCCTGTTGATAATGAAACCATCTTTCTCTACAGAGTGCGATTTTCCTGCAAATGATGCCCGTTTTGTACGTAACTTGTGAATTTCTTCAATTATTGGTCTTTTACTCAATTCCAGCGAGGCCTTTGACAGCCACTTTGTAAAAATGTCATAAGCATGTCCTTGCTCCTGTTGATGACCCTTGTTAATATTGTCCTGAAGTTCGCTACAGCTTGAAACCAGATGTCTTCATTTTTCCTGTGCTGTTACCGTGATTTTTCACACCGGTATTCGATCAGCGATTCTCTGGTGTATGCTCGTACAATTCGTGATTGGAGCGTTAAATGAGGGAGCTGTTTCGGGCGCTTTGGCAGTTTCGCACCACCTTGCTTCTTTCGTACTATTCAGTGCCTCTGTTCCCGTTTTCTGCGTCGGCCTGGTTGGCCTTTCCCACTAGGCATTCCAGGTTCACGTGCTGGGTCGGGCGGTCAAGACGGGGACTCGTCAGGTGCTCCTGGCATTTCCAGCGACCCTGTGGTCCTTGGGGACGAGACCCCATTGGTCCTCCTCCTTAAAGTTTCCCAGGCAACTCGTAACTCCGGGTTTCCCGCCCAATCCAGGTGGTCCTTGCGGTCCTGGTGGTCCAGAAGACCTGGTTGAGCTGCGACCCCGTTCCACTTGGGCCAAATGGTACTGGGGAATGGTAATGTTTTCTGAAGAGAATAAAATTTTTGTGCCTACTGCCTTTACCAGGGTTCAGATGCATAGCTTTTGTGCCAGCCTCGATCAAATTGTGTGTTGCATAGTCTGCCATTGAACAATGGGACTGAAGTGCCTCCTGCCACATGTGCTTGATCAATATCCAAAGTTTTATACAGAATCATTCGTCAACTTCTACAAGGATCGATTGCGCTACATAGTATTTACCGGCAGTGCTGTTAGAAAGGCAGTCTATTCAGCTATTCATAGAGTCACTATCAAACATTTACAGAGCAAAAAAATCAAAGAACAACAAAACCACTGAATGTGCTCAAGCATTGTTAGATGGTGGATAATAGTTTCGTAGCAATATCCTACCCAATACTTATCATTTTAGTTAAGAACCATGAACTAAAATTCTGAATTAATATCCAGGAGCAAGTCTAGGTGGTGGACAATGTGTACATGCTCCAGAAGCACCGGAAGTTCCTGGAGTACCTGGCGGTCCGCGTCCGCCAGGTTGGCCTTTCCCACCAGGCATTCCAGGTTCACCTGCTGGGCCAGGCGGTCCAGGTGGAGATTCGCCAGGTGCTCCTGGCATTCCTGGCGGCCCCGGTGGTCCTGGAGGACCAGGAGGTCCCATTGGCCCTCCTCCTGCAGCAACAGATATAAGTTTTCCAGGCATTCCGGGACTTCCTGGAAGACCAGGCTGTCCATCCATTCCAGGTGGTCCTTGCGGTCCCGGAGGTCCAGGAGGCCCTGGTTGAGCTGCAGCTCCCATTGCACTTGAGCCAGGTGGTCCTGGTGGGCCCTGAAAACAGTTTCCCTCAAGAAGAGAGCGCGCTTATAAATAATGTTGACTGTTGCTCACCGGTGGTCCTGGTAGTCCAGGCATTCCTGAAGGACCGGGTGGGCAATCAAAGCAGAACTGTGCTTGACCTCCTCCATCGCTTGCTCCAGGAGCTCCAGGAGCACCATCACTTCCTGGAGCACCATCGTGGCCCGGTGAACCATCTCCTCCCGGAGGCCCAGGTGGACCTGGCGGTCCACTCACACAGACCTATATTTGAACATTGTTGAGGCAATGCAACATTGGATCCTAAGGCTGCGTTTATACTTTGCGGCAGCGTAGCGTAGCGCTTCCAGCGTACGCCAGCGGCAGTGCCGAAGAGAGGATGCATATCGATCTACTTCGTACTCTCCTCCGTCCAGTGCTCTCTAGCCCCTCTCTAGCCCCGTCGCTGGAAGCGCTGGGAAAACGCTGGAGAAACGCTGGTGAAGCTAGATCGATAGCTATGCTTCCCGTGCCCTCGCTACGCCAGCGTGCGCTACAGGGCACAGCATTCGATGGGGATTTTGGTCGAGCTTTTACGACCCCCCCCCTTTTTCAGGGGCTGGTACGACCCCCCCCCCCATGCTCGTACGATGGCTGACATGGCTGACTGTGGTTGTGGTTTATACTCGGCGAAAAAGTTGTCGAGCGGGGGGGTATGTAGTAGGCATGCGACGTACATCGTACGGGCGTACATAGTACCTATAACACAGAAAATTCATAAAACTCATGAAGTGAACCACGTAACTCCTAGCCAGAAATACGACCCCCCTCCCAACAACGACCAAATACGACCCCCCCCTCCAAAACGTCCGCAAAGCGAGAAAAATCAACTATAAAAATAAATTTTTCCCAGCCCAAATACGACCCCCCTTTTGGCGGCCAAATACGACCCCCCATAGGGAATCCCCAACCAATGCTGTGCCCTGGTGCGCTAGCGTGCCGCTGGTGTACGCTAGCGTGCCGCTAGCGTACGCTAGCGTGCCGCTGGTGAAGCTAGATCGATATGCATCCTCTCTTCGGCACTGCCGCTGGCGCTGGAAGCGCTACGCTACGCTGCCGCAAAGTATAAACGCAGCCTAACTTTGGAAGCAGAAAAGACAATTAAGAGAACTTATGGTGAACTCACCTGTCCACCACCACCACCACCGCCACCAGCATACTGAGGTACTGCTTGTGCCACAGGCGCCGCAGGTCTTTGATATGACTGAAATCACATCTGTGAGACATTGCAATGCACTTCCAACATCTCTAGCCTACACTAAACGAGAGCATGCGATTGAGGTGTAGGAAAATTACGCTCCTGAAAAAATGAGTCTTAGCAAAGATATCATAATCGCCATGATGCAAGGACAACTACCTCAGAAACAGCACTGTGCAATCACTACCTGCATATGAGATTTCCACCATCAAAAAAAATTCTCTACTTATGAGTGTTTCACTGAAGGAGTTATAGCAAGCAAACTAGAGCTACTATAGAGCACTACCGTAGCAAACTGCGCTAGCACTGATACCTTCCATGCTAGCCTACGAGTTCGAGAAGGGAGGGGATTCCGAGGTGGGTGAATAAGTTTGCAAAACTCTGTTCTTGCCAATTTTGAATGGATTACCCACCTGGAAACTTTTCTCTCTCCTTAGACATTACAGGCTAAGTAGGCGCAATATTGCAGAACGTTTTCTACCGAGGCGCACTACTTCAAGAATTGTTACTGGGAACGGAAAGCTTTTTATGGAAGAGTAGAGCTTCATACATAACAGACGAGCGTCCAGCCGTGCTGATGGCTTTGAAACGAAGAATGCGCAACCACTTAATAAGGTGGTTTGCAACTGCACATGCTCTAGCAACATGCATAGATCTTGCTAACTACTTACTGCGTTGCAGCTAGCATTACTATGGCAAGATCGTCAAGCAGAGAGAGACTTCATGCCTACGGCTGAGAAGATTCTACTTTGGAAATTCTATTTTCTAGCATTCAAAGCGTACGTAACTCACCACAGAAAGTACATATCCACCGGCAGGTTGGTAATTTGACATATACTGTAAGAATATCTTTCGTATATTATGAACGCATGTAAGCGACTAGGACTACGGACTAGTCTATGAATAATTCGTGAAAGGCGGTCATAATCTCCGCTTTGAAATTGGATAACAATCTTCTCGGCTACTCAGAGTATTAATGGGACTCCAGTGTGCTTTGTGCATTGTTGCCCGTATTTGGTCTTAAATGATTTCGGCATTATGGACTATTTGGCGAAACAAATCCTATTTGAGAGCATCCCATGATGATTATCACCGGTCTTCATCATAAACCAGCGTCCGCTTCGAAAATAGACCCCACAACGAGTTTCAGGTCTTCTGGTTACTGAAGTCCGGTCCCGGTTCCTGTCTATTCCGTTTCCGCAGCCCGAATGAGTGCCAGAGCTTCAATCATCATTCAATCGTAGCTTCAGGCGTCTACCAGGTGCTTGCCCTTCAACAGATATGGTAGCGTGGAGGTCAGCAAACTGCGCTCCTTGTGCTGTTCAAAGCTGAAAAAGAAACTCCACTGGCAAATGATGCCCACTCTTCGATTGGTAAGTAACACAACTGTAAGGGGGCTCCAGCTACACAAACGGGTGTCATATTAGCGACCAGGATGTAATAAGCCTCCGTAAACAAGTTTTCATCGATTCTCCTGCTAAAGTGATGGCGCGAAATTGCTCCCTATTGGCACAAAAATGAGTGTCGTATCCGTGTTTAGAGAAATGAGTAACATCTACAGGCAGAGGTTCAGCAGGAATAATTTTAACTTGCACGGAGAGTATAGGAGGTAAGAGGTTAGCAAACAGCTGGATTAGGCGTCGTGAAATGGCGGCGTGTGCAACCGCACCGCACAACTTAAAGCACAGAATTATGCAATTTAGTGTACGGTGTAGTGTAGTTATACGGTGCGATTGCATATGCTGCAACTTCAGGACGCCCAATTCAGCTTTTGCTACCCTTCTACTTTCATACTCTTTATCAAGTTCGCTAGTACACGCTGATGGACGCTGGCAGTTGTGAGATCGATGTCATCAGTTTCCTAGTCGCTGCTGCTGCCGGACGCCCGCTCAAAACGCTAGGACGCTGGTGGAGGCTGCCGCTAAGTATGAACGCAGCCCATCTGTAACATTTGGATTGCAACAGCGGAGCAGTTACGGTGCTCCTTATGCTCCTTAAAATCAACTACGGAAAACATCAATAGGGAAGACGACTAATGTCCTCTTCAAGCGGGCCACTTAGCATTTACATTTTCATGACTGTACCTCAGATCCTGCTGTCGTAGAACAAAGAAAGTATTGAGAGAGAAGGGAAGGAAGCAGTGACGCACTGTGATCAAAAATTGCGGCGTGCGTAGGCTTTATATAACTTCGTGGAAATCCTTCCAAACTCTCTGACAAATCAAACAACTATTCAGGAAAATGCACACTTTTCTCGTGTTGCTGTGTAGCAGTGCTTTTCTCCAACTTCTTTGCTTTAGTCATTTATTGCTTAATATTCATAGCGTATTTGCATCGCTACAAAAGAATGTCCAAAATTCCCACTATAAAACACGATTTGGCAGTGTTCGACAGTGCTCCAGACATTTTACCCTGATGAGCCTAGCAACAAGAAGGGTCGGAAACTTTAAGGGAAAGGAAGAAATGTCGAAACATGTACAAAATCGAAAATCTTTAACTAGCTGTGAGCCGTAGGCATTAATAGGCAGCTCGTTTTCGCTGCAGACGCTGGGGCATATCAGGGAATGGGTCTAGGTGTGGCGCCAGCCCGTTTTGCACCAATTGTCGAAACAAGCGACAACGGGCTGGTGCTGCGCCAAACCAGCCCTCCTCCACCTAACACGCCCCGGCCTCCGCTACAATATCGACTGTATTAGATTGGCAATATTGGCAAAAGTTGTCGCTCCTAGCCAGTGACCGATTCCTGTATAAGACCGGCGCCAATCCTCTCCAATCCAAAGTGCATTCTCATTCGCGACTGCTTGTCATCTCTGACGCAAAGAAAGGAAGCATACCTTGACTGTGACCCAAGTTAGAAGGACGACCATATTTTAGCGTCGCTTACGTCCTTGAGCATTTTTCCCAGCCAAGAGCGCTACAGTGACGGAAACTGAAAGAGAACCGATGCCATATGCAAACGCGCAGGAAAGGCTTCAGGTCGACGTTCTTCCAGTGAAAGTGTTTACTTGGGAAGTGATCGCTCACTGACAGCATGCTCATCATAAAATACTGTAGGAAAGGCCTTTCCAAAAATGCTCGTTAGACAAATGAAGGTCTCCACGCTAGGAGTCAAATAACAAAGCGAGCAACATTCTCCAACTCTCGACTCAATAATTTTGGAGTCACATCCCTCCCAAGACGCAGAACTTTCGGCGAAATATTTTTGATGTGGGCATACCCTAGCACTTTCTTTGCCTTTTTTGAATGCCATGCTTTTCTGATCTATATTAAAAAATCCTTTCCAATCCTCCCATTTCCTTCCGACCATTTTTTGCTATAAACCTGTCTGCGGAAACGAGACTGTCAGTTTAACAGTCATGACCAGCTCACAGCTTGATAACCAACTACACCAGTCTGTGAACATTTGTCGCATAAAAGTTGTGCGTCCATTTTCATGGTCAGCATTGTGATCCTCTAATTATGGATTTTCTGTCACCAGTTAGAGGGAAAACATTACTTTTCGGAAGCAATTTGGCTAAGGAAGGGGGACAACAGGATAATGCCGAGCTTTTTTGCAGACCCACAAACCTTTGAAAGACCGAATCACATGCTTCATTTTTGTTGTTTTCCCATTTAAGACGACACTTAGTACATGAAGAAGAAAATGATGACCAGTAAGGGGGATGGTGCTTGCATCAGTCTAGAAAAAAAAAGCTCCAAGAAAGGTGCTTTGATTTATGGGGAAAATGTTTTGAAGCTGAAAGTCGGGACATATAGTAACACTATTCACCCTTAACCGGTTCAGTCTTCCGAAATGAGGCCAGTTTATTAAAGCTTTTTTTTCTACGTACGCACATTTGGCTGAAGACCTGTCTCCAGGGTAGTTTGACATCGTACACAAATATCACATTCGCTCAGCCCAACCGTCTAGCGCAGCGCCTGCGGCGTCGGCTACAAAATACCGGGACCACCAAGTGAGTAGAAAACTTGTCCTCAAGGGTAGTTCCATCTCCTGAGCACGAAAACTATCGTTCGCTACGAAATCGCTGATTGCCCGCGACATGGGCGTCATGAGCGCGAGTAGCGCGGACTCGTCCTCACTGTTGTGCCAAGCGTGTGCTAGGACAGCTAAAGAAACACCGCCAGGCAAGGAGTTACCCATTCTAGTTGCCTGCGATGGTGATCCTTCTCCTCAGCCTTAGCATAGGAAGGGATCACTACCTTGGGGGAATGAGTATCAAGGGCAGGCATACAGGCAAGAGCAGCAGCCTCCTTACTCCATTCTCAATTTATTGAAGCCCCATGCAGATCGGATATGTCAAGGAGGTCAGACTTCTCTAGGGGACAAGGTTGCAGTGATTTGGGATACTTCGGCGCGAGCTCCTGTTGCGGTTTCGGGCCAACCTAATGTGACGCATGATCAGAAGGTCAATCTATCCCTGAGGACAAGTTTTCAGCCAAATGTGCCCATCTAAGTGCTAGTAAAAACTGATCTAATTCCGGAACATTTTGACAGTGAAGTCAAATAGCACTACATAGTATTATAGACGCTCATAAGACTATCCCCTTAACCGAGCTCCACAGCTATTAGACGTGATCTTGGTGCTGTTTCTTCTTCCATCCCTGCACTCCTTTTAAGGCTGTTTACATTCTGGTTATTTTTAAAGCTGTTCTGGCTTCTTGTCACAAATGTTTACATTGTTGATGAATACTAGAAAATTTGAGTATTTCTTTATCAGAGCATTTGGAATGATCTCTTACGGGCTCGCTTTAGAAGATTCACAGCATCATTTGCTCTTTTGTGCCATGCGATATACGCTTCGCTCTAAAAATACCACATCACTTCGCTCCTTTAGATTCCAGCTATTACCCTGGAAACCGCTGTGTCTAACACCATAACAACGCCCGCAACAGGCTCCACTTTGCATTTCGCATGGCAAGGCCTAGCAGTCCTTTGTCATGCTTTGGTTTTTAGTTTTATCATGTACTAGTACTTGTGAGAAAATAAATAGTCACCTGAGGAGGTCGCACCTGAGGAGGAGGAGGTCGCATGGCATATCCGCCGCGTTTGATCCGACTCTTTTGGCCAGTTATCACCTCAACCTGAAAGCAAACGGTCTTGATCAGTTCTCGGCTTTCCAGTCATCTAGCAGTAAGACAGCATAAAGCTTAGTGAGTAGTGCAAAGGGAATCTGTTAACATCACTTGTCACAGCACCGCTTCCATTATTCGAGCAACTGTATGGCGATGCCGCTCTCTTCGAAGGAGTATTCCTCGAGCAGACCATGCATACTACACTGGTTTGGTCCATGAGTAATGGCCTTTGTGGCGCAGTTCGGGGACGAGGGGCATTTTGCACTTCAGAGATCAGTTCCGGTAGGGGTTTGCATATAGACGACAAGATGCTCAGTAAGTCGATAGTGAGGAAAAAGCAGAAAAAAACATGCCAACTGCCCTAGATAGAACCCCATTTCAGGTCCTATAGTTCGTGCGTGCCCAGTGCATCCCATCTCCAACGCTACGCCCTCATCCGCACAGCTGATTCCCCGATAGAACACTACGACCGTACAAGTGACGATTTTCATGCTTTTTCGTCCGGCAGCTTCGTTTTTCACTGAAAGGCGGGCCTTGAAGGCGGAGTCTGGAGGCGGAGTCACTGGAGAAAAGGCGTCACTGAACCTATATTGCGCTATAGCGCCCCTCCCTTACAATTTTTTGCCGCGAAACCGGTACAAGGTTGTTCGTCGCGGACCACACTACCCTCCGACGCCATATTTTCAACTACCACCTGATCGGGGACAGTACCTCTAACAGTGGGGCAGGCGGCTTGGACGACTTCGTCACGAGGACCAGCCCAATCAGCAGTATTCTACGTGCAACCAACTCCCGGTGGAATATGAAATCGCTCTACTACTTTAGAGACACCGCTAAGCACACACGCAATTGCGCTTGTAAGAGTGAAAGTAATCGTGGTCGCAGTGGTTGCTACAAATGCGCGTCTCTAGCCTCTTTATCTCGTCGTTTCGAGCGACGAAAATGGTACATACTTTGCGAATGCAGACTACTGTCAAATTTCGAGGACCACTTGATCGCGAAATCGGGAACTGTCATTAAATTGCAGGTCATGTGCACAGGGACCTGACGGAGCTCCTCTTTTTGACAGATTCTGAAGACACATGGATTGAAGCAAGTGGTCCATGTAAAGAGTTCCCAGCTACTCCGCTAGTCAAACGAAGTTTCAGGGGTACTCTCTATGAGCTAGGTGCCTTTTTTCTTCCCCGCTCCCTGGACGTCTTTTTCGGAGGCCTAAACGCGTTTCGAGGTTAGGAAATGAACACTACCTTACTAAGCGCCCAACCAACCCTAGCAGTTCCGATGGCGTGTTCGGAACTCAACCAGAAAGCCTCAGTTTCGGAGAATATTTGCTGACACATTTATTAGATGCATCGAACAAACAATACGGGACCTGTCAGAATTTATTAGTCACAAATGACAATAAAATGTTTCAGGTGCCAAAAAGCTGTGATCTCCCCGTCGTACTAGTCTTCACGAGGCATTGGCCGTAGAGCTTGCTCAAAACCAGAGACCATTTGCATCTGCCGTGAACATTGGTGTCATGTAGACGCCGAGCAGGGCACACTATCGCCGTGGAAATCATGCTGGGGGGTCGTGTTCGAACCAGGGCACATCACTGGTTGGGGATTTTAGTCGAGTCTGTACGACCCCCCCCCCTTTTTGGGAGTTGGTACGACCCCCCCCCAGCCCTCTGTCCTTCCTCATCGAATCGAGCCGTCGAGCGGGGGGGGCATGAAACAGGAAAATCACCAAAAGTCAACCACCACTCCCTACAACGCCAAAACGTAAATACGACCCCCCCCCCCCTTTACAACGTCCATGAAGCGAGAAAAATCAACTATCAAAATAAATTTTTCCCAGCCCAAATACGACCCTCCTGGCGGCCAAATACGACCCCCCTATTGGGGATTCCCCAACAACGATGTGCCCTGTTTCTAACTGTGAATTAAGAAGGGCGGAGGCGGCAGGGGTTTGAAGTAGCGCTTTCCGATGCTGCACAGGCGTTGATGGTGAAAGAGTTATCAAGGTTCTTGCTGAACACAACTAAAGGTACCTAATAACGGACGCAAATTGCAAGCTCAAAAGTGGGGAACGGACGGTGACGGCAAGAACGACGGCCGCCCACAACGACGTCACGACGTTCATCTAAATAGCGCGCTGACGTCACGACCTTCTTTTAAATAGCGCGTTTAGAAAAAAGCAAGGCGCACTTTTGAAAGTGAAAGTCTTCTAGATTCCACCACATTTTGGTTCCAAGAGGAGGCCACATATGAAGAAAGTACTGTTGTATGAAGAAAGGCTGTAAGCACGAAAACTCGCTGGTGACACTACGTTCAACGAAGGGGAGAATCTAAGGCCCTTCTTTAAAAGGTCCTTTGTCCAAAAAAAATTATGGATGTTAGAAGAAGAGTATTTTTGGCTAGCCTATTTCGAAAGATGCTGCGAAATAGCTCGCTCCAGTACAACGGCAGAGAGCGTGCTTCAGCGTCAGTCCCAATGTGCACGAGCTCTCGATCTTCAGGTATTCTATTCAGCGCACATCGTTGTTGGGGATTCCTCAACAGGGGGCGTATTTGGTAGCTGATAGAGGGGGTCGTATTTGGGCTGAGAGAGAGCCTTTAGTAGTTAACTTTTCTTGTTTCAGGGACGTTGCGACGGGGGGGGGGGTTCGCACCAATCTTTCAAAAAAGGGGGATCGTACGGACTCGACCAAAATCCTCAGCTAATGCCCTGACTCACTTCGACACCAATTCTTTTGGCTTTTCCGTAATTTATTAGCCTTTCTTTTCTTTTCGGAGTGGGATGGGCTCTAACTACACCCAGAGGGTGAGAACAATATCCTCTTTCTGGTTAGGGGGAAATTTATTCGGCAGAAATTTCGTATAGCGCGATGGCATATTTGGACTTTTTGTAATAGCCTCAGACGAGTGGAGGGTTGTCGCGGCTTTTGACGCGTAACGTACCTTTCTCATTTCGTCAAATAGATTGTGGGTGTTCATGACGCAGAACTTCAATTCGACTTCGAGGTGAGACTGTACATTCTGCGCATAGGAGAACAAAAGCGGAACGACGATGATCGACGTCACCGTTGCCACAGCGGCCACGGTGACGCCTGCAAACGTTAACCGACGATATCCGGCTATTTCCTTTTCATCCATTCTGTCGTTTTCGGCCAAAGTGTCGCCAGCAAAGAATCTCCTGAAACATTTCTCATTATTAAAAAGCAACATAATGATGTACCTAGAAACAGATCGAGATAACGTCTCTAATGGAAACAAAATCGGAGAAATGAGAGTAAGAGGTGAGAAGTTTGTGATATTCGGATTTCGCAAAATTGCTGAATTCTCAAGGAACAGAAAAAAAGGGTGAGAAAGCCAGGAGATGTCACTGAGCTCAATGTTGAAAATTCGAGGAGCTGAACGGTGTGTCAAAGTAAAAAAAAACCGCATCTAGTACTCACTTCACTGAGCAGTTTTCGAGTGAAGCTTGCTAGCACTTGACCACTTCGACGTCCTTGATGGCCGTGTTTAACACCACCTGGGTTGGGCGAATGCCGCTGTCTGCCACCAAATCAGTAACAGTTGGGTTATCTTCTCCTCAGTCGGTAAAACGGAAGCGAAACCGAGTAACATAAAAAAAGGTCAATTCACCGCTCGTTTGCTGACAAGTGGTGGCACGGCAATCGCTCTGCTCGGACAGTGGAACGTATTCATGCAGTAAGAAAAAGAAGAGCAAATGAGGAGATTCCCACGTAGAGATTTACCATAAAAAGACCAAATGGAAATGGAGTTTCACCAGAGGTAGTGAGCATTGGCATTACTGAGAATTAGCATCAGAAAAAACTGTCAGGCTGTGAAAACAATATTGCTCAAGTGGGAATTCAGAGGCTCCATTTATACAGGAAATGCTATCCTATGTCTAACAGGTGGAACATCGACGACGTATTTCAATACCGAACATGACATTGTTTTCCTTGGAGCGCAAGTACTGCTTTCTATTATCGGAACCGGTCTCGAAGGACTCTAGTGGGATTCCTGCCTTTGCTGGCCTATTGTTACCTCGTGTACTTTTGCTAGAATCGAATGCAATAAATAGCTGTTGAATTTCCATTCTTCCCCGCGTTACGAAAGGTGCAATTTGAAATGTCTACTCGTCAGAAAGGTCTCTATTTGATAGGCAAAAATCGACCATACCTGCCACTTGTCAGGAAGGCGTAGCGTAGCGGACGTGACTTAACTCGAAAAAAGCCTGGAGTGGGTCGTGGTGAATGTCGTTTTCCAAAAAACTCCCAAGTACACGTGCCAGTCTAGCACTCTCAAAAAAGAGCGACAAAACTCTTGGTGAGGACCAAGATGAACAAGTTCTGAGGCGAAAAATGTGACTGATAATGAGAAGTATGAAACACAGAAGAAACTTTATGAAGAATTCTGGTGGCAAGTTACTTCGCGGAGAGGTAGATCAAAGCCGTGACAATGGCATGTGGTCTACCATCGATCGATGGAGACGGCCTATAAAAGACGTCGGAGTGGCCATCCGGCATTCCACTCCAACATTTGGTTTCTGTTAGGTTGTGTTTGTGACAGAGGTCAGGTTAATTGTTTGTTTGCTTAATTACCCAAGCTTGAGATTTTGTTCGATAAACTCTGTATTGCTGTTGGTTCTGTCACCCATAAAGCAAATCTCTTGTTGCACAAAAACTTCAACTCACCAATCTTGTGAGAAAATGACGCCTGTCTGGAAAACCACTTGCAGCCGTTCGTTCGGAGTGAAAGCTGACATCGGCTGATTGCGGCGTACTTCAGATATCATGCACTGTCAGGAAAACACACAAAGTGACCCGCTGAGAAGTGGAATTTACAGCAATGTAGTGTACTGAGGCACCATTATCAACGTATCCACAGTTCCCTTCAATTCTATGCCTCTATCCCTTCCCCTTCCAGGCTATTGCGGGGTGTCCACAAGTGTAGTCCGTGTGGAGTGGTAAGTCTCACTTACAGTGTGTGGTAAGTAAATCTCAATTACAAAAATGCGCACCTTTCACCGTTTCTGGGGTATAGCACAACGCAGCATTTTAATTCGAACACTCAAAGTGATGTGTGATAGTGCAACTTGTTCAAAGTGTTGGGAAACTTTTAGTTCTGTGCATCATGTTCCACTTGAGAAGATTCAGTCTGATAGCGACGGTTCTACCGTTTTTAGACCTCGAGCGACTTTCCAGAACGGTTTTTTGCATGATGATGTGAGCTCTAAGCGTGAGCGTGAAATAGGAAGGCAAGCCCATTTTTGCTGGGTGTTCCCGGAATGGCGAAAACAAGTGAAAGGGTGGCTTTTCAGCTGGGGAGGGGGGGAGAGGGGTGGGCTAGGTGTCTGTGCACTTATTTCGGGCAAAGATGACAAAGACATATGATTTGCCACGTCTATACTATAACTGTAGCATTTTCACTTTTCACAACCGCTGCAGGGAGTGGTTGAATAAAATTAGTACTTCTCTTAGAACTAACCAGGAAACGTTTCCAGGTAGAAGTGCATGTTAGTGGAAGTATCTGTGGTGTTGCAAGTTTGTTTTTCCACGCTGATTCCATTCTCCCAGAAATGCCGAACAGTAAAGTGAAATTAGCAAGACGTCTCCCTAGATTCGGGCGCGTTGGCATGGACCTGTCGTGGCGTGCGTGCCCATTAGCGTATTTACTCCAGTGAGCATGACGTTCGTGATCGAGGGTATGCCTTTCCTGGAGCTCAATTTTCGAGCGAATCTGATTTTGCGATCTAGCATCGAAAAAGTGGTACTCAAGGATGGGGCGACCGCTGGTGGTGTCATAGCCGGCCTTTTTGGAGAAGCAGTAAAAAGCGCTCGTCAAACGACTCTGACTAGGTGAAGAGTGGAAGAAAAATGTAAATATGGGTGAATAGGGGTGAATATACGTAAAACTGCACCCCATGGCGGCTTAACAATTTCAAAATGAGGTGAAACACCTGCGAGCAGCTATACATCGAAGCTCTCTTCCGAACCAGGTGTCAAAGTACAGATGTAGGTGCACGCAGTTCCTCACTCAAAACCCTGCAAGGGTTCGTCCCTGGACCTTTTACGGCCGCAAAGTGTGAGCAGCACCGCTACTTTTGAAAGGTTTCATGAACGGGTTCATGTCAGCATCAGAAAAAGCGTACCATCATGTAGGCTGCACGGGAACGTTACCAGTAAGGTATCCACAATATGCAGGTAATGAATTACACTCTCGTTGGGCTTCAATGCAACCGTGAGCCGATTACTGAACTCTTGCTGCGCAAGGAGATTGTTTTCATAAGAAACAGCGCCTGGAAATAAAAACCCACTCAGCAAAGATAGGGGACGGTGAAGGATCTAAGGTCAGATGAAGCACTTTTCATGAAAATAGAGAACTATTTTCCCCGCAGAGCGTTACCCACTCATCCCGGCGATCCCTCTCCAGAGGACTACGCAGTTCTCTGGCTAATTGCTCAGATTCATAACAGCACATTCTAAAAATGGATCTCATGTCTTAAACGCTTGTTCCGCGATAAAAATTGGTGGGTTATGGGATTCATACAAACGACAAGGCGGTAGGCAATCAAATAGCTAAGGGGAAAGGCAGAAAAAAATTTTCGAAGTACCCAACCCTTGCCAAAGCGCTTTCACATAGTGAGGGGAGGGCGAGCCTGGACGCACTCCCTTTTACTGATATCATAGCGATATCAGCTCTATTTCCATATCACCTCACTTTGATCAGAGTCCAGCGAGCTATTGGTGGAACGGCCCCAGCACCACGAAGTCCATATAAATGAACGCTGGGAGGTAGGAGGCAGCGGGGGGATATGCCCTATTTGCGCGTGCGTCGTTACCAAGTGTTTTCGAGCTGCGGAAGCGAATGGTTCTCTGTGCGTGCGCTTAGTGCATCAGCGTGCCAGTTGTTATTGTAAGAAAAGAGAGAAATAAAAGCTCTAGGAGCACTTAGTTTTCATAGTATTTAGCATTTCCATTCCAGATCGGACACTTTTCAAACCGAATCGGCCACTTTTCAGAACAGATCGGACGGTGGTCAGAACAAATCGTACACTTTTCGCATCAAACCGGACACGCCCCTTACAGTGGGCAGTTGGTAACTATACCACACTAGGTGCTGCTGCAAGCCCCGTCCCGTTGCCTCGCCCACTTCTCAGCGCGGTTATAGTTTTCCAAATCCATTTAAAGAACACTGTTGCTCCAGCTTTCTTCCGCTTTTGCTACTTCGCCCAACACTCCAACTGAAAAGTATTGCTACCCATCCAGATACGACGTTTTAATGGGGTTTTAATGGAGCTATCGTATGTTTGTGCAAGAAGGCGTAATACGATTAAGACATATTAGTCAATTTGACATAAACATTGCGCATGAGCTGAGTAGCTCATCTTTTGACAGTCTTAAACCGCAGACTTCACAGACATGCTCATTAACGTAAACCATGACACCACAATGAGCAACGAAATTTCGATTTTATGGTCAAGAGTACTTTGGCCTATGATGGTTTTAGAACGTTCTGTTTCGATGGCAACGATATTAAGGCTGACTATAGGTATTATCAAGTTAACGATTTGTTGCATTCAACGGAGTACTTATTAAACAATAGCTTTTGCATGTTTGGATCCCATACCAGACCAAGGAAGTTGCACAAGGAGGTGATTTCACTCCTTTGTTGGCGGATCTTACCTTGTCCATAGTAGAGTAGAATTATGCTAAAGGTAAATTACAGAATCACAACGACTGTTTTCTACCTTGGAGATATATGGATGACCTTCTCGTCATGCATAACCATAGTGAACGACATATACCATTTTCTCTTTAAATTCACCCCTTTTCAAACCAAACTCTCCCCTTTTCAAACCAAACTGTCCCCTTTTCAAACCAAATTCACCGCTTTTCAAACCAATTACGACTTCTAAACCAAATTCACCCTCACTTTTCAAATTATATTAACCACACTTATTAGGGCGGGCAACTCATCAACCAGATCACGCCAGACACCACTGCGAGCCACGGCCACGCCTATTTGTCAGCGCGGACATAATTTTCAAATCCTATTTCATAACTTCTGCTTATGTGACTTTCTTATCTTTTGCTGTTTCCCACAAACATTTTGACAGAAAACGACTGAGTTGACCAACGGCCGACTCCACCCATTCTTTAAAGGGTTTGGCAATCTAGGCTCCGCCCCTTGACCACGCCCACTTGCTTTTCGCGGAATTTTGATATTTTTCAAAATTTTTGCATTTTAGGGCTGCTGCGTGAAGCCCCGCCCACTGCGAGAGCCTCCGCCCGCTTTGAAGAAGCCCCGCCCACTTTTCCAAAAGGGTGCAAATCAGCAGTATAGAGTCTGGGCTGGCATGCCAGGGTACTGCTCATAATCCGAAGCAAACATTGCCTGATTTTCTTGTTCAGAGTGACGCACGAGACCCTAGCGTGAAAGCCAAAACCCTATACTGCCGATTTGCACCCTTTCTCAAAAGTTTCTTTTTCAAAGTGGGTGGAACCGCAGTGGGCGGGGCTTCACGCAGCAGTCCCAAAATGCAAAAACGAAAAACTATCACAATTCCGCGAAAAGCAAGTGGGCGTGGTCAAGGCGCGGAGCCTAGATAGCTTGTTATGGTTTTGTCTTCCCCCTAATCACTGAAGATCCTCAGGAAGTCGAACAACAACAACGGGTTCGTCTGATTTAGAGAAAAAACGAACCACTTCTGTTGTTCTTTATTTGCATACTTCGGGTAACATAGTATCACTTCTTTTCATTGAATTTTCATAACTTCTTTCGACCTCGTTCTTTTGCAATTCATCTTCAAAAGAGGGGGTACTCATAGGCACGCATCTGTACACTGGCTGACTGAGCCCTCCCTCTTTGCCCACGCTGTTCTTTGGTAGTAGAAGACCCACCTACTGGAGAAGCTCACACACTTTTGAAAAATGATCCAATTCAACAGTGTATAGTTCGAACTTGTAAGTTTTGGTCTCCCCCTTCACAACTGGTAGGTTAGAGAGGCACAACGGAATCGTCAGAGGTGAAGGCAGAGTTTCTTTATTCTGGCCTTTGGCCCCCGCTGACCATCCTAGCGTTAAAATTAAATGAGGGGTCTTTGAATGAGAATAATGACTTTGCAAGCTATATGTGACGTGACGCGTTCAGCATAATCAATCGTTGGCATTTGCTGAGAGGAAACTGCAGAGAGTTGCAACGCTGAAGTCCTTTTCAAACTCAAACAGACGATTGGGCAGCATCGCGTAGGGGTAAAGTCGCGAAGAACAGCAAAAGCCATGGGATTGGCGGAATATAAGGTGGCATTGGCATCATCATTGTTTTTTTTTCCAAAGGCTCTCCTTTCGGAAAAGTTCCCACAGAAGATCCGAATTGCTCTAGGGTGAGAACTGTATAGGCACGTGATGAGACAGAAGTCAAGGATCTGAAAGATTTCCTCGAACAACCAAACACCCGAAACGATCACCTTTCCAGCAACGGTTTTCACAACGGATGATATCCCTGGATTAAGGAGCATGACGGTCTCCGTTTGCATGCCTTACCATCATGATGTGGCCAGAACCTTCTGTAATTGCCTCACTCTTAGGGTTTCGTTTGCCAATTGCTTATTGCCATTGATTACTTCTATACGTTCACGTTCACGAGGTGATTCGG